TGTCTTCTGCCAGAATCCAAAGATCAATAGACAAATGGCCTCAGGGAAAAAAGCAGAGGCACTGAGGTTTGAACCCTTGTCAAAAACACTGCAGAACTTAGCAAGAAACTCCTCACAGGAGAGATGAGTTAGTTTTTAATACAGCTTGTGCCCCTTTAACAGCCCAGTATGTCAGCGCTGTCACATTAGAAAGAGACAAAAGACACACATACAACACAAAAAGCAGTGTTTCAGGTAAAGTGTGTTTGAAATATGTACTGATTTGTGTCATAAAATTACCTCTTTGTCTTCTTACTGCTGCAGCTGTTTTATTAATAACAAGACACGCTGTTAAAGCAGAAAAATCTTTGTGTGACAGTGTAACATCAAGATGACCGGACATTTAGATGGGGCTTGTTGGAACTTGTTGAGCCAGACTGGGGATGGCGGTTGTTGCTGGTGTTGGTTCCGGATTTGCTTTTCCTTACCTTGCAGTGGGGTGTAAGAAATCTCTCCTTCCACGTACAGTTGTCTACCTCCCCCCCGCATCCCTCTGACAACTGTTACAGCAATGGTGCTGTATGTGTGTGGTTTTCTCTCGCTCCCCTTTCTCTGTTGGATTTGTCCTCCCTCTGACAGCAGGTGTTTCTCCTCATAGTCGTGGGCACGGCGTATAAAGGGGAAAAGGAGGAGAGCAAACAAAGCTGTTGGGCCTTTCAAAGCAGTGTGCACACCGTGTGTGGATGTGAGAGATGTGTTACTTCCGTTGGAGAGGGTGTCTAAATAGTGTGTTATATCAGGAGTTGGTTGTAGCCGTCACAGTTTCCTTTCAGATTTTACTTCCCTTTCTCCTCTTCCTTTAGTTTTCCCAGGAAGGGACGTGACTTCAGGTTGGAGATTGTTTTAAGTTCTAGTTACTTTTATATTAATGAAACAAATAATAAATAATAAAGTAATTACAGCACATGACACATGAGCTATAATGACTTTATTTTTTAAGGCTTGGGGGCAGTTGTGTTATCCAGAGGTTGGTGGGTGAGGTTGATGACGTAGTTCCAGTCGCCTCTTCGCTGCTATTTTACCTGCACCTTAGACATTGAGGGTTTTCAGGGAGAGGCCAGCAATCATATTCTCATGTTGCATCTGTCCCCTCAATTTTATTACCACTCTAGTTTTCACACAGTCATACTCATTTACACCTCATACACTCACATACAACACATGCACAAAACAGTTGACCTTGAACACTGTCAAGTACGGAAGGATAGATAGATAGATAGATAGAGGGAATTATAAACATAGAAAACTACCATTAGATCTTTCAACAGTGCAATCACGCAAAGTCCTCTTCAGTTCTTTTTGGCCTTTCAGTGCTAGAGTCAACTCTTTGGTGGAGCTTTAACCCATTGGACCTGTGCCCTATGCTTCCAGCAGCTTAATAAGCATAAAGAGGTACAGGATTAAAGAGGATAAGAGGAGAGGAAAAGAATGAAGCAGTAAAAACAGACTGTGTGTGTTCCTTCACTATTGTCTTGTTTGTTCTCCCTCTTCATGGAGCTGGGTGACCTAAAAGAGGAGGTTGGGTGGATGAGTGGGTGGTGGCTTTGGGTGGCAGCTTGATGGACTTTTAATTAGCCAGAGTAATCAAAAGATGTCTATGAAGGAGGCAGGGGAAAAAAAATCAGTATTCAGAGAATGGATTTGCTGTTTGTTCAGTGAAAGCTCAAAAATTCATAGTAAAGCCTAGAGATTCTCTAGAAACTCACTTCAACATGTTTTTAGCATGGTAATGATCTCGGCTATCAGTAGAGCTATTGGTGAAAAAGGGGAGTAGGAGTAGTGGAAAAACCCTTTTGTCATTTCTGTATAATATTAAACAAAAGTAAATGTGTGATTCTCACAATATGGATCTTAAACATTAAAAATAATTTTTATATTCCATATATGACACAGACTCTAAGTGTTTTGAAATAAAAAAAAAAAATGAACCCTTTGCTTTTGCCTGCCTCTAAATATAACTAAAAGCTTGCAAATAGAAAGACGTTTTCACTCTGCCTTTCAAAGATGACACATTGCACTGTATAATACAGCATGGGACTTTTTTCGAGTGCCTAAACATACTTACTGATTCCTGATGATATTTGGCAAGGCGAAACAGTATATAATGTAAGTTTTTTTTTTAATGTAATTAGTATCTTTGGGGTATTTCAGAGGAAAGAATAAATAATATTTCACCTTCATTCACAATTATTAGGGGTGTAGACTAGTCTAACCAACTCTTCTTACACTGTATTTTCCACACATTTCTTCCCAGGCTTTTATTTTACTTTAGTACACTTTGTTTATAGCATATATGAAAGCCCACAACAACTGAAAAACAAAAGGTTGTAAAAATTATACGTTTACGTATAAAAGAGGATTTAAACTGTTGAAGTCTATGCAAGCTTGAAAAGTTGTTGTTGTGTTTTTTAAGTTGCAGAGAAGCTGTGGTCTCTCACCCCAATCAGTTGCAGCAGATGGTCGCCCCAAACGAAGCCGGGTCCGCCAAAAAGTTCCTCCCGCTAAAAGGGAATTTTTTATTTCCCCACTGTCACAAAGTGCTTGCTCATAGGGGGTCATATGATCGTTGGGTTTTTCTCTGTATGTATTATTGTAGGCTCTACCTTATAATATAAAGCACCTTGAGGCGACTGTTGTTGTGATTTGGCGCTATATAAATAAAATAGAATTTTAATTTCCTTTACTTATGCAAATTTATTTATTAACAGCATTGCAAACATTCTTGGTGAGTTGTGTAACTGCTCACACTATTGATAACTGAGTGAATCAAGGTGTGGTGTTTGTTTTTTGTTTTTTTGCTGAGAGAAGTTCAGGAGACAATCTAGCAGTTATCAGGCAGTTAAAGATTTGGCTTGCACAGCTGTGGACTTCTCAATGTCAGGCAGTCTGCA